CACACACACACACACACAAACCCACCCACGTCATACAAATATTTGTACATTTTTAAGCTTGATGTGAGTAATTCATTGCCACAGATTCTGACAATTTGTGGCGAACCCTGACAGCCCTTTTCCCTGTATATCTGCTGTAGTCATGCTCTGAACCAGAACTACATTTTCTGGGGCGTCCAGCTGTCAAACGCCGCCTAGAACCAGTCTTAGCTGTTCTTCGGGCCACTGCTGTTGGCTGACAGCCAATAATAGGACCTGGTCGTCTAGCAGCTCGTCTTAACGCTGCTGCACGTTTTGACACAGACATCCCTTTACCAAAGCAGTAAAATGCAGAGATCATTTGGGTCGGGTTGTGCTGCATCTTTTCAAGCTGCTTGGCCATTGTAGTCATGGCATCACTGTAGTCTGAGTTTTCAGCCATTTCACTGAGCAGTCCCAGCATCCGTCTCACAGGAGACTGAGGTAAAGGTGCTGTTTAAAGAGACAACAATAAAAAAATAAAAAAAACTTAGAAAAAGGTGCTTGGGCCCAAATAAACATCTAGACAGAATTTTTAATGTAACTCTAAGCTTCATGGACTCACCTCCCTCTGAGTTAACCTGTATACAGGGTTGGTTGGAGTATGAGTCCTCTTGCATAGGTGATGTTTGGTGCAATTGTGCAGAGATGGTGGAAGACAGGTCCAGCTGATGTGACTCTACAATTCATAAGATACAGATAGACAAATTGAAATGTTACAAGAGTGTTTCTGTTCAATATGCCACCATTAGAAAGAAAAGAAAAAAAAGAATACATAAAAAAACAGCACCATCCCTCCCTTTATACTGACCATCATCTTGAGCACTGAGATGATACTGATGATCAGTAGTGCAGGTTTCTTGCCTGGGAGGCATGTCTAAAACAAATGTATACTAATGTCACACTGCTGTACTAGTTGTTTTGTTAAGAATTAAGCATGTATGATGAAGTTTCTATGTCCCACTTGAACTTTCTTACCTGGAGCTAATGTGCTTGGCGTTGGCATATTTTGCCGTAAAGGGTTTAGAAAGTCAAGAGAAACTGAGGCTGTGAAGATGATGAACAGGACAAGTAATTAATAGAATTAGTTAATAGTTAAAATATCTAAAGAAGACAGTATTTAAAAACAGCATCAGTCAGTGTGTGTGACAACCTATGCTACAAAGAAATAATTACCTTTTGTTATTTTCAGCAGCTCAGCCCTCATTTCAGCTGTTGTGGGGAGAAAGTTGATGGCGGTGATGTTGTAATTTTGCACTACTGCTGCCTGGTGTTTGCATGGTGCCCCACTATGGCCAACTGGACAAGTGCAGAGCTCCAACTCCATGTCCACTGTATAGGTGTGCCCTGATGTGGACGATCTCACCTGAAATTTCTTTTCTCCAACCTAACAGTGACATAAAGACCAAAAATACAGACATACTGGATGTTTCTCAATTATAAGAATGCACAGAACGGACTTGCATTCTAGCGTAGACTGGTCTTGCCAGGCTATTGCTTTAAAGAATGAACTCGGAAGGACACTAGGACACAGTTTTACACACTAAAAATGTTTTGATAACATTATCAGGCAGTGTTCTAGTAATGTTTTCAGCGGGTAGTTTTATTTTAGTTCCCAGAACGTTCTCCTAAAAGGTAGGATAACATTCTCTAAAAACATTCTAAAACTGTTAAGTGAAAAACATTAAAAAAACATTAGTGACTACTGTTATAACAATGTTTCCAACAGGTAGTTGTATTTATGTTCGCAGAATGTTCTTTTAAAAGGTAGGATAACATTCTCTAATAACATTCTAAAACTGTTAAGTGAAAACATTGTTAAAACATTATTTTTCCATAATGTTCTTTTAAAGTTTTCTGCGGGTAGTTGTATTTATGTTCCCAGAATGTTCTCTCAAAAGGTAGGATTGCTACGGGTTGGTGAGGTACACACACACACGAGGACGAAGGAGATATACAAAATGTATTTTAATCAGCAAATCCAGGAGACAGGCAAGTAAACCAACATTACATAAACAAGAACAGACTCGGACTAAGGGAAAACTGAGAGTATTTGTAGGGGAGCAAACAAAAGAACTAATGAGTTAATTAATCAATGTAGGATATCAGACCGAATCAGACAATCTAAGATTTGGTCAAAACATGGTTGAAACATTAGAAGCACAAAATTCCACAAGAGGCCCAAGACAACAGGATGTCATAAATCAGACCCTAGCCAGTCTGAAGCAAGCCTAACCAACTCTTTCACAGAACAGCTTTCAACATTAAAACAAAAGAACACTTATTGACAATTCCAAGGAGATTGTCAATTTTGGGGGCAAGTTATCAAGAATAATGGTCAAAGAAATGACAGCATGACCCTCACGTGATAGTAAAACGATCACGATCTCGTTGGAATTGACTTCTCCCCCCACCTTATATTTTGGATATAAATATCCATTGCAGAATTGATGTCATACGGCTCGTTCACTGAATCGCTGGCCGTCTCAGTGATCAGCCGTAAAACAGTGATTCTGTCCCTTACATATTATTGGTGGAGTTCCCTTTAAAATCTTAAATGATTCCCTTTGAGCTAAATTGACCTGTTTCCCTTACATCAGACACAGGTGAACGAAATGACAATTAGGAGCCAAAGTAAAACTAGGTCACAGGGGAACAGATAAACTGAAAACACAATGAGAACAGGACAAAAACTAAACATAACCCTAACAAGGATAACATTCTCTAAAAACATTCTAAAAATGTTAAGTGAAAACATTGTTAGAACATTATTTACTAATGTTCTTTTAATGTTTCTGGCAGGTAGTTTTATTTTTGTCCCCAGAATGTTCTCTTAAACGATGGGATAACATTTTCTAAAAACATTTTAAAAGTATTTACTAATAACATTGTTAATTGTTAGAACATTATTTACTAATGTTCTTTTAATGTTTCTGGCAGGTAGTTTTATTTTTGTCCCCAGAATGTTCTCTTAAACGATGGGATAACATTTTCTAAAAACATTTTAAAAGTATTTACTAATAACATTGTTAAAACATTATCTCCTAACGTTCTTAAGCTTTATGCGGCATGTTTTATTTTAGTTCCCAAAATGTTCCTCCAAAATATACAATCTTTAAGATCTTTAAAGTCATTTAAAAGTTTTTCTACTTATAACATTGCTGGAATATTATGCTCCCCGTACAGTTTACTACATATACTGTACTACATTACATGCTTTAATAACATGACAATGTTTACATGAATAATGCTTTAATAACAAAAACTTTATTAGCTTCAACAGAACTTAATGTGTTATTCTCTTCACATAATGTACACATCAAACAATTAAAGATACATTTTAAAAAATTGTAAAAAAAAAAAAAAATCAATTTTGGGCTTTTCTTGAAAAATTGAACAATTTTAGACATTTGTAAAAAGAAGGAAAAAAACTACAACAAAATAAAACTGCGTAAGAAACGACTATGACAAATTATGAACTACTATAAACAACATTCTGATTAACTTTTAACTTTTTTTTATTTGAAAGGAGGGTTTAATCGGACCCAGCAGGTTCAAACATGGCATTCTCCTCTGGTGCGTCTTCATGGTCTTGACACATGGACAGGCCTTCATTGTCCACCTGAATAGATAATAATATAATTTAAAATCAAAATAATTTCTAATTACTCAAACTAAATACTTTTTGTTTTTATTGTATATATTTTATATTTGTGCAAAAAAACTAAACCAAACTAAGCTATTGCACTGCAAACTGTAATTCAGTGGATCAGCTAATTATTTCAAGATTTCAGCGAACATGGCTTTCTTGCTTAGCCCAGAACTTTTGGTATGCCTATCTAAAGCTAATAAATGAGATTTATTTAATCTTTAATCTAAGAATTGTTTTGTGGATCTTAGGTGTTCAAGTTAGTGTTGTCACAATACTGGAACTTCTAACTTGTATACAATGCTTATAAAAAATTATATACATTACATACCAAAAGGAACAACTGCCACACTATTGAGGGCATACAATTTGAAAAGTATCTAAGTTCGTTTACTTCTGACCATGGTCAGTGTTCTTGCTTAGTAACTGAAACACAGTTTCCTCAGGCCTGATAGCTCTGAGTGGGATTATAAAACAATACAGTAATAATAATAATGTAAAATATAAAACAAATATATTGCTATTGTATTATATATGCACTGTTAAATATTTATAATATTACATTTCCTAAGTATATTTAAAATAGCAAGGACCCTATCATACATCTGGTGCAATGCGGCGCCAGGCGCGACACAAGTGTTTATTGCTAGTTTCAGCACGAGCTGTTATTTTCACGTTGTTTGAATAGCAATTGCATTTGCGCCCATGGGCGTGCTGGTCTGGAAACGAGGTATGTTCAGGCACATTGTTGGCGTGTTACTATTTTAAGGCATTTGAAATAGACTGCGCCACTGACCAAATGAAACCTTATTTAAAGAAATTTAAAGAACGCTGATATTTAAAGAACGCGTTAGTAATATGCACCTATATGCGGGTGCACAATGCACGTTCACTCTGCTTATTACACACACAGGGACACGCAGAAGCACACAAACATGCCAAATATTAAAAATAAAAGGATTACAATGTAAAAGATTATTATTGTGTGACTAAAGATAAAAATGTGTGGAATCCGGCTTGTCCCGTAGATGGTCTACTCGCGCGCTTTAACCTCACACACAAGCAGATCTGTTTCCTCTCTGGAGAAGCGTTCAGTCTTTTCACTTGCAAATTCCACCATGTAAATAGCGAATCCGCCATGGTGCGAGCGCAACTGGCTTTTAAAGGGAATACGAGATGACACTCTGATTGGTTTATTGCACGTTACGCCCAAAACACACCCATTACTCATTAAGAGGATAGGTACAACCCTTTTAGACCCTGCGCCGGGCGCACAGACCATTTTTCCCGTCGTTAAACTAGCAAAAGTGGATTCGGACACGGCCTAAGTGCACCTGCGCCATGCACTTCAGACCATGCGCTTAGATCGTTATAATAGGGCCCCAAGAGTTACACCCTGATTTACTGTCGAATACTGTACACAAAATGATGCTTGAGCACACATTTAAGATGAAAGAACACTATACAGGTCAAAGCATTTTTAAAAAAAATCAGTCTGAGTGAATGATTTTATTCAGACTTCACTTGTTTTATGAATCATGTTTTTTTTAACAAATCTCTTGAATAAATAATTCAATAACAAACACACTTTTAAGTCATTTGTCACCACCTAGTGGCAAAACAATTTTATCGATACAGTCGTTATTTGAAGCACCAAGTTATTTTCAAAGGGTGATTTACTGTATTTTAATCTCTACCGAAGACATCCATTTTATATTTGATAAAATTATATAAACTTTTATCCTAGTACTTCTGTGATAATTTAAACTATTGCATCACATAAATAATGATACTATGAGGTTGAAATGACTTTCAACCAACACAGCTTTGAATGTAGCGATATGATTTTGTCAAAGGCTTAATAGAAAGGCTAATTGTTGTCATTTAGGAATATGTTCTGGATACTCCCATAATCTAAGGGTGCTTTCACACTAGCACTTTTGGTGCGCACCCGGGTTCGATTGACGTCAGAGTTCGGTACGTTTGGATGATGTGAACGCTGTCTTCCGAACTCGGGTGCGCACCCGCGAACCGTACCCGAGTCCGTTTAAAAAGGGTGGTCTGGGGTACGGTTCAAGTGAACTCTGGTACGGTTCACTGCTGATGTGAATGCAATCGTACCAAATCACGGAAATGAACCGCTATTAATGACGTATTATTTGATAAAAATGTGTGTTTGTGTGTGTTTCACTCACTTTTTTGACGAGCGTGACTAACGCGTTGCAAGCAAAGAACTGTATATCTGAAGGCGAACAGAAATTAGAGTTCTTTATGTAAGTGCTGTTATGTACTGAAGCTTTGAAAACAAAACCAACGGTTCAAAAGCATAAATATAAAATTGAAGAGAGCAATGCTACACATTTTGCCGTCTTCTCCTGCGCCATCATTACTAAGCAACGGGGTAAACAGCTGCTGGCTTAATGACGCAAACGAACCGCGGTTCGGACCCAAATAATATAATGTGAACACAGTCCAGCGGGGGCAGGGGGAGGGGGGAGCAATCGAACTCGGGTTCAGACCAAGCAATCGAATCAAGTGTGAAAGCGCCCTTAATGGGAAAATCTATTTGTGGCGGTCAATGTTGATATTGCAGCGGGCCATCACAAATAAATTAATGTGTGTAAAGCACTAGCGTGAAAACAGCATATACTTATTTAATGAAAATATACACACTGTCAAATCTCTATCAAGGAAAAGAAAGTGAGAAAGCACAGCTGTTACCACTGTATCAATACTGAGTGTATTGAAACTGCTTTAATTATTTCAGTATTGATATTTATAAAAAAAAATGTTTTT